CGTTGTGTTTGGGGCCATGAACAGCAGTCCTACAGACAACACTGTTAAAGTCCAGATGTTCTCACTGTTCAGACCAGCACACTGTGGTGGTGTCATCACTGATCATCCACAGTGTGTAACGCTGTCAGTGCAACCGGGACAAACCTGGAGCCCAGACGTAGCTCTGTTCTGGAGCCCAGACGTAGCTCTGTTCTGGACAGATGCACCAGTTAGTCATTATCTACAGAACATGACAGCACCGGGCCGGATATGTGTGGACTGGATCTCATTTATCTATGAAAAGCACTTTGACTCAACGTCCGTCAGGTCGTAAATATTCAATCAGCACGTTTAACCAGAGCTCAGTTTACACGCCTCAGATGTCATCAGAGCTTGATGACTGTGTGTCTTCAGTCTGCTCTGGTCCTTCTTGTCCTTGACTGGGACTCGTGGTGGGAGGTCAGGTGATCAGCGTGGCTTCTCTTATGAATGCAAACACACAGAAATGTGACGAATGAACCGTGACTCACTGTTTTTCTGAAGAACACTGTTCTGTTCATCAGTGCTGTGATTAAAAAGGATTAAGAAATATTGGTGAGAATTATATTTTCATGACTCATAATTTTGTGCTGGACTTCACATCTGTGTACTGGTGACGTATTCTGTATATCCACATATTTCATAGTCCTTCAGGGTCTCCAGTAAAGACCAAAGCACAAAGAGGTGTTTTGTTCAGGAGCTGGTGACACTGGTGCATCCAGAGCGCCGTCACTCTGGAACCTTGGCCAGCGTGTCCATTGTCCTGCGCTCACACTCGGGCTGAATGTGGGAGGTGTCCTTGGGTGGGCACTTCTTCCAATAGTGCTCCTCATTCCCCAGAACCCCCCGTTTCTTCCTCCTCCTCCTCCTCCTCCTCCTCCTTTATCCTCGTCTTCTCCCCTCTTTTATCCCAGTGTTTGTGGCCTCCACATCCTCACAGCGACCCGGAGCCGAGCAGCGTCACATGGTAAGAACCGCCGGGCCTCTGCTCGCATCCAACAGCAAACCTCCAGCTCTGCTTTTGACTTTTATCCTGAAACTCTGCAAAACAAATATCACAGGCAACGAGGACAGAGCTGCTTCTTTCTGCTATGATTTATTGATGAAGGTGCAGGAGGAGGAGGAGGAGGAGGAGGAGGAGGAGGATTACTTTGTTTTGGTGCCGTGTCTCTTTGTTTTTCATCTCCCAAGAAAATCCACTTGAAAGCTGCAGTTTAAATGTGACTTTTGCTGCCAAAGACTTCAGTTGAGTCGCTTTAGGTCAGCTGACAACCTGCAGAAATCAGTGCTCTGCTTGTGTTTGTCTTGCAGAACAACATTTAGCTTTCTGTCATTTTCCAGCTTCTGCTTTGTCTCTTCTTGCTGGTTGTGCATCCTTGTTGTGCAGATCCTGGTTCTGTGAGTGAACATCGGGTCACGTCGGGCTCAGTGCGGCACAAAGCTGCCTCTCTGGTATTGATCCCACTTTGACTCGCGCAGATAGCCGCACAATGACTCGTTATAAAAGGATAAAGCACGATTCAGATGCTGACGGAGTCCCGCTGAGCGTTAGGACTGCACAGGCCCAGAGGATTACCGTCTCTACACCAGGACCTTTTCTTTGCCTCGGACTCTGAGGGTTCTGGGTCCTGACTGGTTTGCAGGTATCCATTCATTTCTTGTAACACACAGTGTAATCGGAGGTGGTGCTGGCGTGTTGCTTTCTGTGGAGCAGCAAGGTGAAGCTGATGATCAGGTGGTGGTTCTGTCATGTGAAGAAGACTTTCCACTTTGGGTTTGGTGACGTGTGCTGTTCTAGTCCTGCACATAGAAACACTAAAGCAGACGCTCTTCTTCTCCAAACGACTCTGTGCAAAGTGTGTTTTAAAGGACGGTTTTGAATCAGTCTCATTTATGGCTCTGCTTTGGGGATGACTGTCTGCTCCTTGATGACACTTCTGTCCTTCAGCTGCTGTGAATGAGGCTCCTGCTCCGTCAGCATTGGGACGCCTTTCATTTCTTTACATTTTTTGCTGTGACTAAGCTGCAGTTTCCTTCAGGTGAGACAGCAGAAAACATGATCTCAGTTCATAATCATGTTCAGGTAAAGCAAAGATTAAAGAACGGGAGGATTCCAGCTGACTTTGCAGATTGTTCCTTTGAAAGGAAAGCGTGTTTTAAGTACGTCTACCTTGAGCTCGAGCATGACCGAGTGTGAACAAAGGAATCTGGAGGAAGTGAAGAACTGCTGCTCCAGCTTCCCTCCAGGACCCCATGACGAGCATGGTGCGTGGTTTGTGAGGTTTAACCAGCGCTGGTGAAAGCTGGAGCTTTAAAATGAGCGCACAGGGCAGCTTTGTTTCTCCACCCTGAACAACTACCCGTTAACTTCATGGATGCTCCCACCTGGTGCCTTCATTTAAGGTGCTCGAACTTCTCTGTTTTTTCAGTGTAGACAACAAATAGGAGAAGGCGACTAATTGTGACCCTGGATGGATCGGCAGCCTGGTCCGGTGTGACCTTACAGCGCACTGATCCGATAGCGTGACCAGAACACAGACGCTCCTTTGACCTGAGACCATGAAGGGTCACCTTAAAATGCAGATTTATTCAAACACTGTGATGCCACAGACGTCCACAGCTCTGGTGTCCTCCAGTGTGATCCTGTGCCCTCAAACATCGACCTGCTTCTCCAAGTCTTTAGACAACATTCACCAAACAGCGTTATTCACTCTCTCAGGCTGACCTGGGACTTCTGGTCTCTGACTGTCTGCTGATGATCGTTTCCAGTTGGAGTGTTTCTGCTGTACGGTGCTGCACGTTGGAACAACAACTGCTTTCCCCCGATGGTAAAAACCCTGGATGGGAGTTGAGACGCTGTGTCTACAGCTTCCTCCTGTGCAGGTGCAGCACAAACGTAAAGCTGAGCTGTTTGAGTCGTGTGCAGCAGAATGAAGTGAACTCTGTTTCACAAGCAGCTGTTTGCTGTTTAACTCTGTCTCGTCTTTGTTACATCAGAAGATGTAGGACGGATATTTCAGTGTACAGACGGTGGTTTGGTGGCATGTGGCCATGGGATAAGTGGATTAAGCCCGTCAGATTTATCCAACAATCATGAAACGTCAGCTGCTGACAGGCTCCCGTTCAAACACAGGGCGACCCAACAAAGTGGCGTTAGCAGCATTTCTATGATTCACAAAAGCTCTCCGAGCTTTTTATTCTGCTCCGAGCACAGCTGGAGATCAGCCACTGGGTTTTCAGAACAACGAGCAGGGAAAGCTGGGACATACTTGGTCTGCTTGTTTGGTTTTCTATTTGAAAAGTGCAGTCGATTACAAACAGTAAGAACTGTACCAGAGGGCCCGGTTCTTCTCTGCTGCACCAACAAAACCACCGTGATGCTCTGAGCTGCACGTAGCTGTGATTTCCTCTTCATCAGAACACATGAACGTTATTAATGGCTTTAATTTGGCCTCATGCCTGTAATCCTGTGGCTGCCTGTGAGCTGGGCCCGTCTGTTTACTCCAGAAGCTCAGGTTCTGTTTGCAGAAATCCAACATTAACCCTGAGACCAACAACAGCTCGTCCATTTGGAGCGACACGAGTCCATTTCCTTCACTTATTGGCTTAATTTGACTTTAAAATGGAGTTCTGAGCAGTGAACAGTGAGTGACGGCTGAAGCCTCCCTCCCCCGGCACTGTTGATACCAACATGTCCGGTCTGGACTCTTCTTGGGAGAGTGTTTCTGACGCTCGGCTGACTTTCAATGAGCCGCTGACAGACAGTCACATCCCCACTCTGAGCCGATTGTCCACTCCTCCAGCGTTTAACCCTCCTGTGTCGTGTTGCTGTCTGGCCCTCTGGTTCTCCCGGACTCTGATGAGGACGGCACCAGAGAGCAGTTTGGATGTTCAGCAGAGCGGAACCGATGCAATAAATAATTATTCTAAACGGAACGTCTCAGCCTTGAAACGTCTCGTCGCGAGTGTTGACACATTCTGATGCTAATTTCTTGTAGTGATTGATGCGGCGCTGACCCAGTTGCCTTGCAGGGATCATTAAAGTTTAATTGTGGCTCCCATTCAAGATCTCTTTCTGGAGGACAAACAAAATCCGTCCTGCTGTCGAGTATGTGGTCAGAATACTGGAGCTGCATTACTGGAGCTGAAGGGAGGCGAGTGTTGTGTTTGTTCCTCCTGAGCTCTGAGCACACATGAAGGGAGCAGCGGCATGATGGGAAATGGAAGCTATGAAAAAACAGATTCATGTAAAACAACAGTAAATAAATAGAAATAACTTTTAAAAATATTTACATTTAAAGGATAAAACTGTTAAATTCAAATTACTGCAAAATACTGAACATATATTTCTGTTCAATTAGGGACAATTAACAGAAACAAAAGCATCAAACATTAAAAAGCAAAAACAAAACATGATTTCTTCTAGGAAGTGTGCCGTGCTGTGTTTGATGTTACCGTCCAGCGTTGGGTTGTTTTCTACGGTGGCGTGTGCGCATCGAAATAACAAATGAACAACTTTAAACATAACATCAGGTTAAACACAACTTAAAGCAACAGAATAATCGTCACCCAACATGTCAGATGAATATCACCTGAGACACCTGTGAACTCGTTCAGCTGCCACATGAAGACGCCCAGGTGCTCTGTTGCCATGGTGACATACGTGAGAGGTGTTTAAATCATTTAGCTTTGAACCCGTTGTTCACTTAAACTGTGACTGTGCTTGATAACAACGGCCATGAAGTCTGTAACAACAGAGCTTTATAGTTAAACAACATTTAAAAAATCATTTGGAGCTGCATTTAGACAAGTTTGGCAAATGAAATGGACCCACAGAACCCAGTCTGAGCTGATACCTCACTTTGTTTAGCTCTGCTTTGGTTCTCTTCAGCTTTCCCATAAACTGTTTTGGCCTTTAGTTCCAACAAGTTTGACTCATCAGCTGCTCTCTCTTTTTAACCAAATGTCCCTCCTCAGCCACCATGAGCGTCCTGCCCTGCAGCTTCCTCGTCCTCCTCCTCTGCGTCCCGATCCTCGCTGAGGCCAAACGTCAGGCCGGCCAGGAGAAACCCGAGAAACCCGAGAAACCCCGGCAGCCTCCTCCGTCGCCCCCACCGGCCAAGAGAGCCAGGAACCGCTCGGTGCCCGGTTCCGGAGAGCTGAGCACTAAGGAGGGCCACCGCTGCACCTGGCAGACGTCCGGCGAAGGCCTGGTCAGCCTGGTGGTGAACTGCAGCACCGAAGCTCAAGGAGAGCTGCAGAGGTGAGGCGGACTCAGCAGCACCAAACCAAACCTTCTGCACAGAGTCAGTGAGATCGATGGCACCTACACACCTGAGCTAAACGTTCCCCGCTTGGTTTCACATTCGGTTCAGTCAGTGGCTCGTTTGTGAGGAAACACTTTAGCAGCAGGAGGTTTGAACTTCTGGACAACAGCCTGACGTTGGACTTCCTGCCTCAGTCTGTCGCTCAGCGGGAGGTTCCCCAGCTTCATGCTCAAACATGCAGGGAACGTTTCTGCAACATTGGTAAACGTTATCGACAAGTTCTGATAAATCTTTAAAGAACAAGTTGAAATGAAATGTTTAAAGAATCTTTTCCAGTAATGTTCTTATGAGGTTAATCTAATGTTTCACGTCAACATTCAGATTATGTTCCAGGATGACAAAGGAGCAACGTTCTCAAAGCAACATTGTTAGAACATGTGACTGACAAAGGTGGAACATTCTTCATGCAAGGTTCTAAGGATGTTTTGGGGATGTTGTTGAGGAACATATTCTAGAACGTTCCTCTCTATGATGTTTCCACAATAATGCAAAGGAGGCCTCAGTGTCAGAACGTTTTAAAAGCGTTGTAAAAGTGTTTAATATCGAACGTTTAACAGCGTTCCTGTAATGTGATATATTAAAGGGGGTACGTTGAGGAGAACACATTTAGAACGTTCTTCTACAGAACATTTCAACAATGATTAAAGTCAAGAAACATGTTCTCGATGCAACGTTCAGAAAACGTCTTCCAGGTGTTATCGAGGCCTCCGATGATGCAATATATCAACAGACGTAGAACGTTCTCCCTGCAATGTTCTGAGAATGTTTGTGAGGGAACACTTTGTATAATTTTTAAAACATTCCCTAAATGTTCCACCTCAACGCTGATAACAAAGGAAGAACGTTTTCGGTGTAACTAGTTTTGAGAGCGTTAGCGCATAACGGACTGACAACGTCTTTGGAACATGTTTGGTTTTCCTGCCTTGAAGGAAACATTCTGGGAACTAAATGAAAACATTAGTAGAACTTTGCAGAGCCTTGTCAGAACAGTTCTGGGAACCAAACCAGGTTCTGGGTGTACGGTTGGTGTCCTCCGTCTCACCTGGTTTGGTCCTGACGTCTACATGAAGGTGAACATGATGCTGAGTCGTGTGTCTGAGCGTCACAGCTTCTCCTCATTTCAGCCACTTCTTCACAGGTTCATCTCCTGGACACAGACTTACCAGCACTTGTAGGTTTTATCTTCTCATTTTCTTCCAATGAACACATTTCCATCCAACAGGAGAAACCTTCAGGGATGTATTGTAAAGTAAAAAGACAACATTATGAAGCGTGTTTTGATGCCTACAGATGCTCCTGTGTAGCGCTGGCTTAGACGATCACGGCTCTTTGGTGCTGACTGTGTGCATATCTGAATGTTTTCTGTAAGAAAGCCTCTTTTTAATACGCAGGAAGGCGCCGAGCTGCAGGTGGAAGTCATTTACAACCTGTCCCCAGACTCATTCGGTGAAACGCTTCCTTCATCAAAATACGACAAGTTCTTCATTACTTTTGGATCTTTTTTCCAAACCAGACAAACGGGCCAATTATGAGCTTCACATTCTCCTCTCCTTGCTGTTTTTCTTTCCTGACTCTGACTGCTCTTTCCTTCCAGGTACTGGTGCCGCTATGCCGGTAAACCGGACCTTTGCCAGGCCTACGGGGTGAAGTCCAGCCAGTACTGGAAGCAGCTGGTGGGGAAGCTGAAGAAACGGCAGAACGCCTGCGAAGGAGAGAAAGTCCTGAAAGCCAAAACCTGCAAGAAGGCGCCGGCCGAGGCTCACATGAAGCTCGCCCAGCGTAGCGGCGAGGACGAGAGGAAGGCAGGGAAGGAAGGAGGGAAGAAGAAAGGAGCAGCAGCCGGGAAGAGCTCGGACGGAGGGAAGGTGGAGAAGAAGAAGAAGAAGGAGGAGGATGAAGAGGACGAGGAGGAGAAGAAGACGGAGGAGAGGACTGGGTTGGAGGATGAGGAGGGAGTGCTGAACGACATGGAGCCGGTGCAGAGCTACTGCAGCGAGGGATGGCACTCGGTCTGCTCCTTCTTCGTCAAGTTCTTTGAAGGTTGATCAGAAAGTCTGCTGAAGCGAATTCACAATCTGGAAACAATGGAGGATTCTTGTTGTTAATCTCACGGGAAGCACCAGGCAGCTCATTTCTAAAAGTCTTTCTCTTCATCTTTGAGCTGCTGTCCAACCACATCTCCCACTAAAGTTGGATTAAAGTCACCTTAACTCGGGTTTGGTCATAAAACCTTTTGGTTTTTCATAAATTATGAACTTTCTTATAAATTAGGCCCCCCGGCTTCTAATTTGCAAAGTTATAGCGGAACGATAATTAAAACCTGGCAATCTGAATTATAGAAAACCGTTCAATCAAACCTGTCAGTTGTGAATTGAAGCTGTAGTTCTTCTGGACGTCCCTGCAAGTCTCTAGAGACTCAGAGCAGCTGTTGTAGTCAGTGCAGGTGAAGAGGCATTTTAATGGAGTCAGACCAACCAGTCGGATTGTTTGGACTCCAGTTTTTGTCCGTTGAGTGTACGTAGCTGTGGGATACGTTCCATCATTGTTGTAGTTGTGTTTTGTTCTGTAGAAATCAGATGAAAACTGTCTGAACTAACAGCTAAACCCAGTGCTCTGGTGGACAGTAGTGAATACTAGACGTGTTTTTGTGACGTGAAACTAATGCGTTCTATAAACGTTGTGTAGCTGTTGTGTACAAACACACTGTTCATAGTTGGATTTGTGGCAGTTAGACCTTCGCAGCATTTAAAAACTATTTTTTGAAGAAATGTTAACACCGTTGCTGGAACTTTACAATAAAGCGCTTACAAAAAACACAATGGCTTCTTCTGACTGACACTTCTACATGTGCACAGACACAACATGAACCA